ACAGACTTTTTGAAGTGATGCCCACATTTTCCTGAGGCAGGAAGTGAGCAAGAAGACAAAAAAAGAAAAAAAGAGAGAGAGAAAAAAAAAAAAAAAAGATTACCTCATGCAAGTCATCTGGTTTTGCTTTACCCTCCACCCAAGGAGAAACTCCTTTACCACATAACAGCACTAAATCCTGTCGTTCTGCAGTTCCCATAACCATTACGGCCTGGTTTTATTATGCTGTTCAATTTTCCACTTGGGACTGTGCTGTGTTTGAGTCATCCCACAAGCTCCTGTCTTAAGGCTCCTCAGAGAACTGTATTTAGCAATGCTCCTACTCGCATTACCACAACCATGACTACTCCTACTGCGCATCAGCCCCTAAAACGTCCCAGCCAGCCGCAGCGGACTAGGGCAGCCGCCACCGAGCCAAAGTCAGCAGCTTCTGCCACCAGACCATCACCATGCCAGAGTTCCTGGGGTCGTTAACAACGGGGTTGTGGTCTGATCAGAGGGACATTACACAGAGAAACCTATGATTCAGCATTACAGCAATTCTTCTTGGCCACACATTTATCGGCGCAAATAAGAGGGCGCTAGGGCTTGTAAGCTGAAATACTGAGTTAAAATCACAGATATCAACTACGAAAGCTATTGTTAAAATATTTGTTTGCAGTTGTTTCAGCGAGAATCAGGGTTTTTTTAAAATAAACAAACAGGTGCTGAGATGGCTGGAGGATTTGTCTTTCGACGCGAGGTATCTTTGTGTTTTTCCCTCGAGGCTCACACCTAACGCTAGTCACTAGTGATTTAAACCTATGCTGGATCTCTGTATCAAAGCACAGGAACTTAGAGAGCAATGGTCTGTGAGTCACCATCACTGGTAAATTGTTCAGTAGCCTACAGGCTAACTCCATCCCACTGCTGCTGCAGGGAAGCAGAATATTTCTGCTGTCGGCACTGCCTCTTACATCACCTTCTACCAACAGTACAACTGAAAACACCGTAAAATTGATGAGAAAAGCAGAAGCACTCACCGTTCAGCAAGGATTTCTAGTGGGGGTTTTCCCTGAGCCCAGCTCCTAACCATCCACGCGGTATCGAAAGCAGCAAGGAAGCCTCTTGCACAGCCAGTGCCCATTGGCCAGAAGGGCTGTAAGAAGTGTTTACATTTTAATCACTTGTTATTTCATCAGAACTTATTACAAAAGTGATTTGCAATGTGAATTTGGAGTTGAGGGTTTCATACTGTCTTAGAAAAGTGCCCCAGAAAAAGTTAAAATACAGCACTGCCAACTCTTGCAATGTTTAGAGGGTTTTCTCCTCCAAGTCTGAGGTAATGAAAAAAACCTGTGCTTTTGCTTTTTCTTAACTTCTATATTTAAAAGCAATTTTCTAGGTAAAGGCTAAAAAAATGACTCAGAACACTCAGAAATCAGTCAAGTTCAAAAAAAAAAAAAAAAACCAACAACTGTGTGCATGTTGTGGGAGATGCCTGTCTTCTCATCTCCTAATTTTGATTTGGAATGATCTTTTCAAACACTTCAGGCTACCAACATGAGTAAAAAAAATATACTAGCAGTAATGTTCACATTCCACAAAGAGAATACATTAAGGCAAAGAGACTAGAGTAAAAATTCGGACCAAGTTCTTCTCTCCGATTGAAGTCAGGGGAGTTATGCCAGGCACCCAGGCTGAGGACACACAGCTCACTTTTCAGACAGAAATACAACCTGCATAAAGCAAAACAGAATCTCAGCCAGAGGCTGCCAGCCAAGCATTAGTTACCGCCCTGAACTATGGTATAAAAAAAAAGTAGAAAAGAAAAAAAATCCCTTCCAGTGAAGTTCCCATTGTTTCAGGGCATGTAATAGAAGATAAAGTTTGTTTTTTGGAGGGTAGATCAAATGGCTGGATTAAAAAAAAAAAAAAAAGACCATTGGAAGCCTTTCCCAGATATACCTCAAGCAAACTATCTCCAACAAGCGCCACCAGGAGCTGGTGTCTGTGCCTCTCTCTCACTAGTGCAGCATTTTCAGATGCATACATGGAAGTAAAATCAAACATTGCTACATCTGGTTGCCCGTAGTGATTAATTGCAAAATCCAAGGAAGGCAGCTGGTAATTCGTTGCAAAGTCAGCAGCTTCTCTGGCATAGGAGAGCAAATTGTTCTGGTTCACGTTTTCCCCACAGAGGAGCAACTCGGTATCAACGCAGTCCTGCAAGGCAAGAAACGTGCAGGCTGAGACAGTCCTGTCACTGGATCAGAGCCCAGCAGCAGCGCAGCAATTGCATATCCCGCAGCACAAAGAACCAAGGGAGATGTGTTGTCTCCTCAGGAAAGATGTTAATACATAAACACAGCTTATTGTACCACCCCAAACTAGAGCACTCTACCTCAACATTAAACAAATAGCCTTGCTTACAACAGAATATGATAGCACCTTGGCTACATGTTATTTTTATAACTCAGACTTCCCTCCCATCAAGAGATATTATCGTTATCACTGCAGCGCACCCCGCTTCTGAAACTGCACAGAAGCAGAAATACAGGCACGCACCAATGACACACCACAGTGGTTTCTGCCTGAATATTTGACTTAACGTCTCAGTATCAAAACATACAAACTTGGACCACGGAAGTTTTTCTGCTGTTCTACTGTGGCTTGCTTTTTTTAGCCAGCATGGTGAAGGACCTTTCCTTTATGGGTCACTCAACCTAAAGCCAAAGATGATTAATAAGGCAGTTTCTATTTACAGCTTAATCATGGATGATCGCAGGGATGATGCCACGAGAACTGTTATTAGCCCAGTTGCCTTTAGACAGATCTCTCTGAGACCCAAGCAGGTCAGGGAAATGACCCCACAGTTGGCGAGGGTCTGCCCCCCTGCCAGCCGTTGCTCCCCTTCCCAAGTCGCACGTTGCTGGCTCTGCCCTGGGGCGTCCCTCGAGAGTGGTCGCCATCGGGGCAACATGTGAAGCCAGCCCATCGGAAAGCCAAGGAGCCTTCCAACAGCTCACCACAAGCACTTCCTTCGGGAAGCTATACTCAGCTATTTTGGCACTTTCTTACTCGGCGAGAAAAATATTGACCTCTTTTGGGTATCCAGGAAGAGAAATTTAAACAGTGTCAGAACACTCTCTAGAAATGAAAGAAAAAAGACTCATATCTTAAAGATAAAAAAAAAAAAAAAAGTCCTTTAAAGGGCCTCACAAGTTCCTGAGTACTCTTAAAAGTTTAGGCCATCATAATTTACAGTCTCCCTCTATCATGTTTCACCCACTTTAGAGAATTCAGAACTTTAGCCCAGGGTAGATTTTAAACACTTCCTTATTTGCCTGATAAAACTGGACCTAGATGTGCTAGGTCAACCTTTAAATAAATGAGGTTTTCATTTTGTGGTCTGATGACAACACCATGCAATTCCAAAGTGAGCCAAGATCCCTTTTCAGCCAGTTTCAGAACTGATAAATTTAGGAAGTATCATTTTTAGTTTCCTTCAGGAACTTTTTGACTTGGGGGGGGGGGGTGTTCAGAGTAAGATCTAAGCAATCTGAGCTTTAATGAAGTGACCCAGTAAGTCTACAAACACCTTCTATAACATGGAGCTACATTTATGCAGATGTTCACGCTTACTTTGTGCCAAGTAAATAAGATAAGTCTTTGCCCAGCACTTTTACCTACATTAATAATCACTCCTTTGTCCAAAAGGCTCTGCTTTTTTGCTGTCATCACAAAATAATGAGTGCTGTCTTTGTAGTAAACAATATTCTCCAGGTCAATTCCTGAAAGAAGATAATACATTTGTTACGAAGTACAGAGCATTTTCTGTGTCATTTACAAAAAATATCTGATTGATCCCTATGGGTGTGTTTCCTTCTTGGGTTATATGAGATATATTCGCTTTCCCTAG